TCCCAAATTCCAGCAAAATTTCCTGGAATAAACTTGGAATTCCAGCCCGGATTTCTTGGAATTACACTTGGAATTCCATCCCAGTTTCCAGCAGAATTATCAGGAATTAAACTTGGAATTCCATCCTGAATTCCCAATGAATTTCCTGGAATTAAACTTGGAATTCCATCCTGAATTCCAACTGAATTCTCTGGAATTAAACTTGGAATTCCATCCTGAATTCCAACTGAATTCTCTGGAATTAAACTTGGAATTCCATCCCGGTTTTCCTTGGAATTTTCAGGAGTTAAAGCTGGAATTCCATCCCAGATTCCAGCGGAATTTCCTGGAATAAACTTGGAATTCCAGACTGGTTTCCCACTGAAATCTCCGGAATTAAACCTGGAATTCCATCCTGAATTCCAGCAGAATTTCCTGGAATGAACTTGGAATTCCATCCCGAATTCCCAATGAATTTCCTGGAATTAAACCTGGAATTCCATCCTGGTTTTCCCTGGAATTTTCAGGAGTTAACCATGGAATTCCATCCCAAATTCCAGCAAAATTTCCTGGAATAAACTTGGAATTCCGGCCCGGTTTCCCACTGAATTCTCTGGAATTAAACTTGGAATTCCATCCCGAATTCCCACAGAATTTCCTGGAATTAAACATGGAACTCCGGACTGGTTTCCCCTGGAATTAAAATTGGAATTCCATCCTGGTTTTCCACTGAGTTCTCTGGAATTAAACCTGGAATTCCATCCTGAATTCCTCCGGAATTTTCAGGAGTTAAACCTGGAATTCCATCCCAATTTCCAACTGAATTCTCTGGAATTAAACCTGGAATTCCATCCTGGTTTTCCCTGGAATTTTCAGGAATTAAACCTGGAATTCCATCCCAAATTCCAGCAAAATTTCCTGGAATAAACTTGGAATTCCAGCCCGGATTTCTTGGAATTACACTTGGAATTCCATCCCAGTTTCCAGCAGAATTATCAGGAATTAAACTTGGAATTCCATCCTGAATTCCAACTGAATTCTCTGGAATTAAACTTGGAATTCCATCCCGGTTTTCCTTGGAATTTTCAGGAGTTAAAGCTGGAATTCCATCCCAGATTCCAGCGGAATTTCCTGGAATAAACTTGGAATTCCAGACTGGTTTCCCACTGAAATCTCCGGAATTAAACCTGGAATTCCATCCTGAATTCCAGCAGAATTTCCTGGAATAAACTTGGAGTTCCATCCCGAATTCCCAATGAATTTCCTGGAATTAAACCTGGAATTCCATCCTGGTTTTCCCTGGAATTTTCAGGAGTTAACCATGGAATTCCATCCCAAATTCCAGCAAAATTTCCTGGAATAAACTTGGAATTCCGGCCCGGTTTCCCACTGAATTCTCTGGAATTAAACTTGGAATTCCATCCCGAATTCCCACAGAATTTCCTGGAATTAAACATGGAACTCTGGACTGGTTTCCCCTGGAATTAAAATTGGAATTCCATCCTGGTTTTCCACTGAATTCTCTGGAATTAAACCTGGAATTCCATCCTGGATTCCAGCAGAATTTCCTGGAATTAATCTTGGAATTCCATCCTGGTTTTTCCACATTCCCGCTGCCGATCCCGGTTTTTCCTGGAGCCTCTTTTCCCATCCCCCCCCATCCTTTGGATTTGAGTTTCCCCAGTGAAAATTCCGGGATTTTTTCAGGAGTTTTGGAATCACGGCTGGATTTCCCGGGAATGTGAAAATCCCGGAATTCCGGCTCAGAATTCCCGGCTCGGAGTAGATCCAAGGAAATTCCCGGGAATTCCAAGTTTCCCGTTCTTTTCCAACACCTGGGATAATCCCGGAGCGAATCCCATGGGAATTTCCATGGAATTCTCGGGGATTTTGGAGCCGCCGATCCCAAAAATTGGGATTTTTATTTTCCCCATCTCCGCGTTCTCCGTGGAAAAATCTTGGAATTTTTGGAGGGAAAAACGCCCCTGGAATTGCAACCACAAATCCTTCGGTGGGGGGGAAAGGGTTAAAGGGGTTTGGGAGCTCCCGACCGAGGAATTTGGGAATTTTTGGGATCGGATTTGGGGATTTTTTTAGGAGGAGGGAAAAGAATTCCTGGGGCTGAGGGATCTGGGATCTCCCGAGGGACGGATTTGGGAATTTTGGGCTCGGATTTTAGGATTTCTTAGGATGAGTTCCTGGGGCTGAAAGGTTTGGGATCTCCTTGCCCGATGGATTTGGGAATTTTGGGATGGGATTTTGGGATTTTTTAGGGGGAAGGGAGAGAATTCCTGGGGTTGAGGGATCTGGGATCTCCTGAGGGATGGATTTGGGAATTTTGGGATGGGATTTGGGATTTTATTTTGGAAAAGGAGAAAGAATTCCTGGGGCTGAGGGATTTGGGATCT